TACAACTTGCAGTTCAGCTAGGTGTGGAACACTTTTAATTGAAGGGGATTCCGAGGTGGTAGTGGGTTGGCTACAGAATCCAGAGTCTATGGTGTGGTGCTTTACGAATGAAATTGAAAAATTCAAGTGGCTGACAAGGAACTTGGCTGTAAGAATACAATGGGTTGGGGGGATCAGCAAATGCTTTGACTGATTGCCTAGCAAAGTAAGGGACAAACAAGGAATAATTGTATGGGCTCAATTGTAGTTTGAATATGGTTTCTGTTTTCTGTTTCTTCTTGTTGTTAGGAGAGGATACAGCTCGCTCCTCTTCATGGGAAGCTTATCTCAAGTTCTCTTTCTCTTAATGGAATCTTAATTTATTTATAAAAAAAGACCCCTTTGAAAGACTAAGACCCAAAAAATGAGGGTAAAAGTCTTTAAAAGACACAGGATAAGGTCAATTTAACTTGGTTGTTGGATAAAGGAAAACAAATGAGGGTAAATGTCTTTAAAAGGAGTGTTTCTCCTGCATAGATCCTTCGAAAATTTGGTTTTGGTTCTGGAGCAAGCATTTTTCCAAACCCACGCCCCTTGATCCTTCTGGCTAACCCAACATCCTAAAATGGAGTAGTATCTTCCTACCACTTTCACTTTTAAAATTTTTATCATTTTAAAGCAATCAATCAATAACTGCATATTCCTCACCCTTGTTCCTCCATTGTCCTCACCAAAAAGTATTATGTCTATGGACTGTAGATCTGTGATTCTTGTCTCATTCCTTCCCACTTTCCACTCCTAAATTAGCTATGTCTTTTAGTAGAGGGTAATAGTGGATCTCTTTGTCTTAAACCTATTTTTATAGGAAAAAAAAATCTTTTACACCCTGTTAACTAGAATTTTTGTAGGAACTTTCACCCTACAATCAACCTCCTCCAATGATCATACAACCACATTTTCCTAAGATTTCTCCCATAAAGGACCAATCCACCATATCATACGCCTTCTCTAAATCCAATTTGCAGACCTCTTGTTTTTTTCCTGACCTTTTCATTTCTTTGAGGCATTCATTGGAAATCAAACATTGGGCATTGGTCTATTATTTGTCTTCCTTGAACAAAGGCCCCTTGTAAAAGTACACCTACCTATCAAACTAATAGGCCTGAAATCATTAGGGTGCTTAGCCTCAGATTGTTTGGGGATTAAGGCAATGAGGGTGGCTTTTTCCCTTGGGTTTATTACTCCTCTTGTTGAATTCTTCAAATACATCCATTAGATCCTGCTTCAGGATATTCCAACATTTTTGGAAAAAAGCCATAGAGAAACCATTTGGTCTCAAGGCTTTAGATTGCCCTGTTAAGAACTCTGCTGATCCTCCTCAATCAGTCTCTCCAATTCTATAGCTATGCCCCTATCCAAGGTTGGCCAGTCAAACCTCTTGACAAGTAATTTCTTTGGTTGAGAGCAACAAAGACTGCTTTAAATGGTTCACAAAAGGTTGTGGGTATTACTTCAGGCTGAGTGTGTTCCCATCAATTTCTACTTTTGAGACAAAATTCTTCTTATCTTACCATTTGATAGAGAATGAAGGCACTTGGTGTTCTTGTCACCCTCCTTGATCCACCTACTTTGCGATTTTTTTTCTCTAAAAGATAGAGGCTCCTCAGTATTAGATGCAGACCGTTCTTCAGTTTCCACTCTCCTCAGAAGATAGAGGCTCCTGAGTCTCCTTGAAATCAAGGGTTTCTAACCGATTCAGGATTTGTTGCTTATATGTTTTGACCCTCCCAAATTCTTCCTTGTTCCATGTTTTAATCTTTCTTTCAACCTTTGAAGTCTTCTGTAAAAGCGATGACCTTTCCATCCAGCTCCACCTGCATCCTGCTCCCACCAAGACTTTACCATCAATTTGGCTAAGAAAAGGTGCTACTAATTAACCCATTTGGGTCAATTGCACAAGAGATGCAGTGGGATTAGTATACCTAGTTTGAATGTATGCATTTTATGTGCTTGACTCACCAAGCTCACTTTTGGTGATCTTTATGCAACTTAATTACGGCCTGGATAAAGGAGGGTTGCGTCTGGTTGGCTGCTGGTACTAAAACTTTAGCCAAACTCTCATGATCATGGATCCTGATTTGTCATTTTATACATATGCTAGGGCATGGATAGGCAGTAAACAGAACAGAATGTGTAGCCAACCCAATATAGTTGGGATAAGGTTTGGATTATGATGAATTGAAAAGAGATCTCATAGAATTGGCAGTCATATGCAGTAAGCCACTGCAAAGCTAATATCAGCATAGACATAGACTTCTATTTTTCTATCGATATACATGAGCCAAGTCTGCCCATCACTTTCTTTAACAACAACTCTTGAGATCTTTTATTCTCAAAAATTTTTTTGTTTCTTTTTTGTCCAAATAGTTCACTTCACTGCACATGATGGTATGGTTGACCAAACAAATTTTCCTTTGCTGCTAAACCCTTTCACTGACCAAGCCTCAAAAAATTCTTTCACTGATCTAGGTTAGATCCAGTAAAGGTCCAGAAGTTTATGAAAATGAGACCAAATTTTGTGTGAGCTGGCAGTGCATGAACAGATGATCCTCTGTCAATTTTTTCCTGATTTTACAGAACACATGGCATGTCCTGAATATTCCCTTCTTAATCAATCTATCCTTAGGCAGGCACTTTACCTGAGACTCCTAACCATGTCAGACAAGAGACTTTTGAAGGGACATCCGAACTCCACAACTTTGTATGCGAAACTTGAATTTTTGGTCTCTCTGAGGTGCTTGGCAACTGATTTGACAGAGAAGCAGGACTCAGCAGTCCACTTCTATAGCCTGCAATCTTCACTCTTCATGTTTGGTGACTTTGGTCCATTAGCTAGAAGCAAGAGCAATAGATTGGCTGTACTCCCTATTTCTCAGTTAGGGTTGTCAGTGGGTGGAGTTAAGTTGTAAACCCGCACTGATCCAACCATAGTTTTCAAGGCACCTAGGTGATGCTGGCCGACACTGGGGTGCCTTTTGGCTAGTTCCCTAGTTTTATATACCATTCAGGATGTATATTAATTGAAAAAATAGCAATCCTCTTTATTAAGAACATTAAATTTCCTCTAAAAATGTGGCAAACCATCACATCTAAAAGATAAAAATCTTTTACATATATTAGTTTAATTATTTTCAAAAATAATACTGCTATAATAAGGATTTAATAGAAAATTCCATATCAATTAGCAGCTAAAGAAGGTCAACTTTATATGATAAATATTCAAGATGGAAAGTAAAATAGAAAAAATAAGGATGGAGTTTATGTTTTATTTAATTAGAGAGAGAATAGAAAAAAAACACAACTTTATAATTCTATTCTTTCTTTCGTCTTTCTTTCTTTCTTTCTTTCTTTCTTTCTTTCTTTCTTTCTTTCTCTCTTTCTTTTTCTCTCCTCAAAACCCTTTGATCTTTTAAATTTCAATAGTAAAGCATTAAAACAAAGTATATATATATATATATATATATATATATATATGTATATATATATAGCATACAATAAAGTGTATTTACACATACATTAATAAGATACAACAATATAAATTATATTATAAAAGGCACCCACCTTATCATTTTTGTTGCCTAGGCGGGCGCCTAGTTGCTAAAAGTCAAGGCGTTTGAGCAAGGCGCCCAGCCAAGGGTGCCTAGTCGCCTAGGCGGTGCCTTGACAACTATGGATCCGACCCTATTGGGTTAGGGTCAGGTCAACCTTGATCTGGTTTCAGGTTGAGGTAAACCTGTGCTGAACCTGACCCATTGACATTGCTGCAGTGAAATATTTGTAAATATAAGCTTAGTTGAGTACATGCATACTATACATGGGATGGGACAGTTTGGGTTTGGTGTCCTCTATTTAGTTGGGTCAGGTAAGGTTGATGCTGCTTTGGGTTGGTTTGGTTGAAGCAAACCAACTCGAACCTGAGCCGCTGAGTACTCTTAGTTCTGAAAATTACTGCAAAATCTTGGCATCCAAGTAATATCACTGTCTTGATATTCAAAGGATGTGCCACGCTGCCACTTTGCATCTTTATGATCTGCAATCAAGTGTGGGTCTGTAAAAACCTCAGAAGAGGTTTTTTTTCTGCACCACTTATCCTGCTGGAACCGTTAACCTTTCCCTATTTCCCACCTTATAGGATACTCCTTTGATGAAAGATTTGTAAGCATTCTCAATGCTCCTCCAAACAGAATAGCTGAAGAATATTGGCCCTGGTCTGACCCACCTGACCTGTATCCATAATTCTCTGCAATCAAACTTGTCAACTGCCCCTTTCTTCTTAAACTTCCAAAACCACTTTGTTAACAAAGCTGTGTTCATTAGTGTTTTAATTTTTTGTTGTCCCAGACCTCCCACTTCCTTGAGATTGTAAGTCTGATTACAATTTACAAAAAGCATTTTCCTCTCTTCCCTCCACTCCACAAAAATTCCCTTTAAATCCTTTTAGTCTTTTTGCCAACTTTGCTGGAATCAGAAAAAGTGACAAATATCATGCTGGCAAGTTGGATGGGGTACTTTGGTAAATAAACCAAAGTAGAAATGCTTTTCTGTGGCTTCATAGGGTTCACCTGTGAGGAGAAAAAAGAACAAAACTTCACACCCAGCCATATCCCCCTCCTAATTAACCATTAACCCCAAGACTCCAACAACCAAGCCTACTGAACCAATGACACCACAGAAACTTCCCACTGAGCCCAACTCAGCAACTTACAATCAAATAAATTCAAAAATAGAAAAAAATCCGACTTCTTTCCACACCCTTACAATAAATCACAAACTTTAATCTAACTTTTATTGCAAGGTCTCATATCGCATACTTTAAGTGATTTTGTCTTATATATTTCCATGACCTCTATTTTCCACATTTGCATTAATATTGTTCTTCTGTTTCATGCCATTATCTTTTCTAGAATTTCAGTATGGATTTGAAGCTTCGGAGATCTGATGGATTCTCTTTTCTTTTTCAGACCATTGAGATTCTTTTCAGCAAAAAGATCCTCCTGAACATGGAGGTTAGTCAACTGTTTCCTTTTGTCTTCTGCTGTTAATGTTTCATTGTATTATATTTATAGGAGCTGTTTGATGACAGCTTAAGTGACTGAATTGAATGTCTTATTGCTTTGTATTTTCATGTAAATAATAAATACTTGAGGATATAGTAATCAGCCCAACTTCATCTGTAATCAGCCCAATAAAGGAGCTCACAACCCCAGTAACTTATTTGCTAAAAGGCCAAGCTATAAGTCATTTCAGTGGAGCTATTTCAGCTGTAATGTGATGGCCCCTTATGGCACTGAACAGAATGGAATGGCAAAACAGGATTCATGTAGCCGATCCCATGTAGTTGGGACAAGGCTTAGATGATGATAATGACGAGGGAGTGAGCACACACAGAATTGAAGAGTTTTTCTTTTCGTTTTTTTAATGTTATCAAGAAAATTATTTTGGCATAACTCCTGAGGCTGTTATGTGGGTTTCATCCGTACTATTAGTAATGAATCTTGTGGACGGTTTGCATCTTAAAAAGTAACATTCATCACATTACTTGTTGGTGAATTCTCAATAAGAATCAATAAAAAGTAGATAACTAATGGAAGATAAGATGGCAAGAGAAGAGAGGAACAGAAGAAAGGATAATGGCTGTAATAATGGGAGTACAAAGAGTAGGGGATATGAATATCAACAAGAACTAGATGCATGGAAGTAAAAGTTCAATGGGTTCAAAGGGAAACCAACTGCATGGCTGATTATTCTCCTTGGGATTCCTTTATGCATGTACGTCTTGTTTTTATTTTAATAAAATCACAAAGTTATTAATAAAAAAGAGAAGAAAGGAGAGACGAGAAAAGCAAACCAATAGTGGGAGCCAATGTGAACCTCAAACATTTATATTAGCTGCTAGAACTGATAAGGAAAATTACAATAGTGCCCCTAGTTAGGCGGTAGCAGTAACAACTATATGTAACTGCTAAAAAAGGCCCATGGCCCAATAAGAAATTATAATAAAAAATGTCCAACAATAGGGAAAGAAGGACAGCAGTAACCAAGTAAAAAATAAGCACCCTAGTGGAACATTCAAGGAGCATCCAATAAATGGAGCAATAGGCATCTTGATGCTGTCTTATGGCCTAAATAATTACACAATGGAAGGAATTATGCGTTTGATGTTGGTAAGAACTTTCTGACAATGTGTCTAGTTTCAAGCAAGGGAACCTGTCATTTCCACTTGAAACAACACTAGTTATGCTGCCGGTTCAGTAAGACAAGAAGCAAAAATTGAGAGCAAAGTGTGAAAGCCATGTGATAGCATCCGAGCAGTAGAGCTGCTTGATGAAGTGCACTAGGATTGCAATTCATTTTTCACGATGTTGTAGCACACCCTTTTTCTTGTGTGGTGCCTGTGCACTCTTTAAGTTTTGAAGTTGGATGCAATGTCTTAACTCATGCTTAATATTTGAATTAGATATTTTTCATACTAAATACCACTCTATTCTTAAGATAGAAATGGTTGCTTGCATTTGTTCATTTCTATCTTCTTTTTCCTGTTTCATATTTTTTTCGAAAGGGTTGCCTTACACACTGGAAAGCAGGATTATTAATTAAATCCTTAGGGTTAGCTTGTACTGACATGGCAGTATCATGACATAACAGGCTAAGACTCTGGATTTTTGTGTTGGTGTTTTGGACTCCTTGGCTATTGAATTGAAGGGATCAAGGGACTTCTCCAAGTTATATGCAGGCATTTCTATTCTTGGTTATGTTGCTTCTGTTTCAGATCCCATCAATATTCAGGCTTTTTCTCAGCTTCTTACTTTTCTTGGTCATCGATATCCAAAGGTTTGTACCCACAGAATGAAACACTGATTATAGACCTCAAATTCCAGCATTGACTGATTTGCATCATTATGGCTTCTCTCCTGGAATGAATCTCCTTTTTTTTTCTTTAATTATTTTATTTTCCACTTGTCTATAAAGGCATCTATCTATTGGATAATGATACGTAAGGACTGCAGTAAATACTAAAATAACATCCAGAAGGGAATCAACAATATAGGCATTTAACAGTGCCCTGACCAAATGCTTGATAGTGCCCTTTATTTGTTCTTTAAACCTTCTCCCCTGCTATTAAAATTACTTTGTTACATTTTATTTCTCAGATACGGAAAGCATCCGCTGATCAGGTCTATCTTGCCTTGTTGCAAAACGAGAATCTCGTGGCAGCAGGGGACAAAAGGGAGAAGGCACTTGAGATCATTTCTGAAACTTGTTGGGAAGGTGACATAGAGGAAGCAAAACACCAAAGGTTACAACTGTATGAGATGGCTGGTATGGAAGCCAGTAAACTTTTGAAGACCAACAGAGAAGCAAACAAGGATAATAAGAAATCCGTAGCTGATGAGAATGCATCATATTCGTCACTAGTTGGTTCATCTGGGTTCTGACTATAGAGATTAGCTGCTTCGCCATATTTGTTCCATAAATTTGAATGGTAAATGGAGCTCTCTGAAGCTTTGTGCTTGTATGGGTGTGGCAACAAAAGATGTGTGATTCTTGAATGCGTCAGTAGTGTACAATCAGATGGATCTGCAGGGTCTTATCTGCGTTTTCAGTTGTAGAAATTGCTTGTAAATTAATTAAGAAGGTAAAAATATAGGCAGGGTAAAAGTAGGTCATATACCCACTTCCAGGAAGAATCAACATGCCATTGGACGTAATAGAATTCCTTCAGCTGAGTCATGGCGTGCAGTCATTTTTTCTATTTAGCTGCTCACCACCCTGCAATACTCGAGGAGGGATCCAGCACCATTGGAAGAATAGTGCACATTGCATTTGCATGGCGTCTTTGCCTCCGTTGCCGTCCTTGAATACATGGAATGTTATCAATGGCAAGCCGCGGGGTTGCAATATCATGCATCCCCCGGTAGGTGCATGATATCTAAGAGAAATTCTTGAGGATCTTTTTATTACATTTGTATGGTATTTGTTGTAAAAATCTAATCAAGGGAATGGAACTTATCGTTTTCTCTTTCCGAACCAGAGTGCAACTGTGTTCGTAGAAGTGGTGCTGAGAAACTGAGAAATGCTGTCAGAAGGTTGAGTTTGTGCCATTGGTCATTCTCCTCAAAACCACATTTGTCCCCTATGGTGAATGGTGCAGTGAGGTGAATGCAAATCGATTTTCAAGATGAAACAGTCCATATGTTTGTTATATCTGAATGGACACAGTTGTGTCCTAAAATTTAATTTAAATTTAAATAGTCAAAGAAAGCGTACATGCACCTGTGCCCACGCCCTGGTTCGGCATGGCACGTGTATTTGTGAAAAGCACCCCCAACCAAGGTTCAAAGTATCAATACTGGCCGATACACTGGCATATCAGCCTATATCGGTACTCTTCTTTTCTGTTTGTTTATTTTTTTTTGAATTTAGTTCAGAGGGGTTGGATTATGCCTGGTTTACCCCCTGAACCATTTGTCGACCCGAAACACCCCCTGTAGGGGCATATTTAAAAGGCTCCAATACGATATAGGCTGATACGTATCGATGCTTTGAACCTTGTCACCAACCCCCCTCACATGCATGTGAACATTGTTCAATGCTTTCCTCCAATGGGTCCCTACCCATAGAGAGAACAAGTCTAGTAATATGCTCAAATTCATCTCTTTTCCAAACAATGTTGGATAAGAGAGTTTTCACATGTTTATGAGAAACAAAAGCAAAACTAACAAAGACAACCAAAAAACAGAGGGAGGGAAGTCAAATTTTTTGTAATTTGAATCTTCCCTCCAACAGTATCTAAAGGGATATTGTGGTATTATGGAAGGCTCAGTTTGGAAAGAGTACAATTACAAATATGTAGAGTGGGAATGAGATTCCAATTCTGTCCGACCCAAGAGTTGAAATCGAAATAGTCCGTTATGATTCCCATCCCAAAACCCTATTCCTATAAGTCAAACAAACTCTTATTTATTTCTAGCTTGGCTACCTTCGATGGTTGAGCGGTAAAATTAGAAGTCAGAACAACAAAAGGGGACTTGCAGAGTTGCAGTCTTGCACAAGAAAGTCAATTGTCAAGGGAAGAGCAAGAGCTTCTTTGTGATATTCAGACCTACCTTGTAATTTATGTAAATTATATTTTTATCCACCTGTTTGGGCAGAATTCTCCAAGTCACACCCTTGGTGATTGCCCCGCCTCGCCATGGTGCAACCAGCAATTGTTTCTGAAGCAATGTGATAAAGCTTTTTGCATCAATGCGGCTACCTCTTATGTACATGTGATGGTAGGAATAATCACTTCTCCCAAGTCCGAAACTCCGAATTCTCCTAGCTCTAAATTTCACATAATATGATATGACGCAATTTGATTCCTATTCCTGCCGTCTAAACTGGGTCTAAATTTTGATATCAGGCAGCTAGCGATCAGACTTGTCCAATCAAATTGCATCATTATCTATTTAAAGGATAAGTGAACTGCAATTCACCTTAAAAATTTGAAATTGTAGCCCTCTCCTAGTCTAYTAGTAGTCCTTCTATAAACTGCATCCTGCCCGTGAATTTGGTATCAATCCACAGGTAGGATTCAGCCCACCAAATCTTAGTTTCACCCTATGAGTGGACTGAACTATAAAATCCCCTTTATTTGAAGTCAGTGTGAAGAGCGCTATGTGAGGAGCAGATCCGAACTCTGGGAACACACCTTTTGATGTTAGTGCCTGTGGTGGGATGCATTTAACCTTATCAATACCAAAGAAAAATTTGTTGTTGCGAGTTGCGACATGGGTTGGAAGTGCTCTTCTTTAGTATATGTTTGGCATCAAAGCTGCAGATACATCACCCTTTTCTCAAAAAACTGTACTGCTGATGTGTGGGTTAGAAGAATCATTTTCTGAGAAAACAGTCTTTTTTTTTTGTTTGGAATCGTTGCTGTTAGGTAGGACGATTCCTGGAGAAACAACAACATTTTCTGTTTGGTACCAATGCTCTAGGAAAAGTTTTCAGCACTGGTAGCTATTATCCAGTGCCATGTCATGTCCTTGTCACTGTCACCTCATGTCCCTTTTGGCAGTAATGAGCTGCAGTTTCAGGAAATGACAAATTCGGCATCGCTTCAAGCCACGCCATCCCGATTTCTAAGGCATGGCTTGGAGCACCGTTTTTTATGGAAAAACGGTTCCAAACAAATAGGCGCTTCCTGAAGCACCATTTTTTCCGATGTGGTATTGATGTGTTGCCGTTTTCTAGAGCAACGACATCGATGCCAAACAGACACTTAATTAACACACATAGTCCTTAATTTTAATGAATATATTTATTTAAGTAAAATATTGTTTGCTAATTTATTTATTTCTAAAGCAAATTAAAATACTTCCAGTTTTTCATAAAAAAAAGCAAATTAAAATAGTTTTCGTTGATTTATTGTGTAAATTTGGATTGAAGGGGGAGAACGGAACTTATCATTTTGATGGTTTGAATCTTTCCTCCAAATTCAGCAAATACAACACAACTAAAACTAAGAATCGTTTAGCTACAAAAATGATCTGTTAAGAAGGAATCTTTGCTGAAAAAATATATGAATATAAAATAGAAGGTATTTCTTCTGCTTCAAACTAATGATATGCTATTAGTATTTAATTTTAAACTTCAGGAGGGAAGGAATCCAATCCCGCGGTTTGTCATCCTCTTGAAATCAGTTTCCTTAAAGGAAAAAAAACCACTAAATATTGTTAAATTTCATGCAAATCTAACACCATGCGGTGGCAACTACCGCTTTGTCTTTCCATTGAATTAAAAACGACCATACAAAAATATTATTAGATCTAATCCCATGGTTTGTCCTTCTTTTATTTTTTGTGGCAGAGCACAGCTATATGACAGTAGTATAGCCGTCTCTGCATTGTTGACTACGAAATCTAAGTATCTAACAAGTGTCATCACCATGAATTAATAGTCTTTCATGAAAGAGTAGAGCTCATTCAACTACACCCCGCAGCTCTGTAAAGTGTAAGCTAGCTAACAGCATATATAGACGCAGAATTGCTTGAAACATTAGGAAAGGTTTGAATAGTTTGCCAGTTGGCATTATACATTTTGATTCTCTTCCTTTTGATCCCCAACGAGGGGAGTGCTTGTAATAGCTCCTATGATTTCAAGGGTAAAATTTGTATCGTCTACCTTGACTCTTTGATCATGAAGAAAACGGAGGACAATTAATTAACAAATATTAGCTTTAATCTATGTAGCATGCATACAACCAAAAGAATTGAACTAGTATCAAGACGGCCAATGTCAACTTTATTGTTTGCATCATGTAATGTAAGTGCTTGGCTAAGCATGTGCATTAACTACTATGATGCCAAGAAATGTTGACTCCATAGAATGTTGAATGGATTTGTTATGAGCAGCTGGATGGAGTAGTTGATTTTGGGCTGAGAATGTGGATGTCAAATGCCATGTTATTCACGAAATTGAAAGCAATCCCTGTTGATCTATTCATCCATCGACTTCATATTAATTAGTTATTAAGATGTCGTGATAATAAAGCAATCCCAGCTTCAAGCAGATTTGACAAATCCCTAGTGAAGAAAAAAACAAAACAAGGTAGATAACTTCACAACACAATCCCCGTTTGGTGTGTTTGTCCTTCTTATCATTCCATATCGCGTTTATAAGGGTGGTTGATTAGATCGTTAAAAGCTTGTTCGCAACTGACCTTGGCCCATTTGGTTTACAGGAATAGGGGTTTGGAAATGGTGCATTCCGATTCCAATTGTCTGGTTGGGTGGAATCAGAATCTCATTCCCATTCCTGTTGAAATGACATTCCCATTAGAGAAATGGGAATGGTCATTCCCTCCTCCTCCCCTAGGAATGAAAATCCATTCCATTCAATTCTGATTCCAATTTCAATCCCAGGCTGAATCAAACAGGTGAAGAGAATAAACCATTCCGATTCCGACCATAAACCAAACGGACCCTTATTTGAGTTGCGAGGTTTACATATATTACGGTTTTGTAATAGTACATGGATGAATAATGAGTCTCAAGCATTGTCTAGAAAAACTGGATCAGACCAACTGATTAGAGGGTTTCACCTGATTGGGTCTTAACATGGATAGAAACTTCAAAATGTTGATAACAAAACTTGAATTAAGAGATTTCAACCCTGGTCATTTATTTTACAAACTTAAAAATAAGCCATTTATCTATCAAATGCAAATATAATAATATTTTTGAAATATATTACATATAGTATATATGATTTTTACGACTTATAAAATATATGTATATATGCCACATCATCATGATTCAACCTCTGGTTTGATCGTGGTTGAACTTCGAACCCGTGAGTCTCTCATTTTTCTGATTTTATGTCTAGTCCGGTTCTTTAAACATTGGTCTCAAATGATCATAAGGCTGTTTTTCATTTGATAGAATATAAATAGAGAAACATAAAGTTGTGAAGTGATGAAGGTTTTTTGTCAAATCAAAACACATGAATGTTTAAAGCGAGATTCATGTATGTTATAGATGACATTTTTATGTTGTTAAAGTATTTAATGTGATGGATAAATATATCTCGTAAAACACAAACTAATAAAAGAAAATTTTCACTGAAACCTACCCCACAAATTTTTATTTCACCATATACATTTACAGCAACTTAGAACTTTCAACACCCCCACCCATCACACCATACCCCTTTGTATTATTATCAATTTCTTCCCATATTCCTATTCCCAACTGTTGAATGAAATAGAAATTTGTGAGGYAAGGATAAACGAAGATTCCCCTAAAAAAATAAGTAATCTAACACTTAAAATAAAATAATTTATTTGAATTCTCAAAACATACGTATGAATAAAATGTTATCATTTAAATACCTATTAATTCCGTAAAAAATTTGACAGCTCGAGATGAAGGCAATTGACATATATTCCAACATGCACATGATACAGGATTGACCTAGTTTGTCATTATACATTGCGACTACAACTCTACATGATTCAAACTGGGAGGACTACTTTATAAGATAGCTGTCTCCTTTTTGCAGTTAGGGACACGGTCGGCGTACTATTATAGAATGATAAATCAGCATTCTGTCTCTAGATCTCTCTCTCTCTCTCTTGGCGCACATGGATTCAGCTTGAACCATATATTCTTTCTTCAATGGTTTGGTGGACATGGGACTTCAGATTACATTTGGAATTTTGGATGGAACCTTACTCAATATGATATTAGAAATTTTACAATTGATATTTATATATCTTGTTTACTGTGAAGAAAATTATGCCATTTGATTAAGAAATAGTTTTTTCTTCTTTTTCTTTTCTGACTTCTATTCTTCATAAAGGGCACAGCTTTGCTCATTAGTCTAGACTTAAGAAACAAGTTCATGCATTTAAAAGAAGAAAAAAACACAGATTTTATGTGCCCAAATTGCTTTCCTATTTTTATTGATAAGCCAAATTTGTAACTGCTGTTAATTAAATACCACATATTAATTTATTTGGATAAATTAGCTAGTTGATCATGGTTTTTAAAACTAGACCTGAAAAATTGGGAACTGGTCACCTGATCGGTTTGGTTTTTCTCCAAACCCGTTTTTTCCTCTAAAACCGTTGATTTTGATCAATAAACCACTGAACCGTCTGATTAACCGTTCAAACGGTTTTGACCATTTCTCAAAATTTTTAATTTTCTTATTTTTTTGTCAGAACGGGTCGAACAGCCGGCCCATTCGAACCGGTAACCAGACCCCTGACCGGTTCGGTTTAAAAACCATGTAGTTGATTCCAATAGTTTAGAAACATCTGCTATATCGATCCATTGGTTATATGAATGAACACTAATAGAACGACAGAATAGAAGTTTAGCTGAAAAACAGAATAGCATGTAATATTATTTTAATTTACTAAAAATTTAAATCAATCAAATACAACTCAACACGCAATACCACTCGACAGAAGTTTTGCCAATTCAAGCAATAAAAAATTAACACAACTCAACAAATAAATTTATTTAAAATGTCAATACCAACCCGTATGACTCTACCCAACTATACTTTGAGCCTAAAAATCATGGGCTCTCGTCCCGCGTTAAGACTTTTTCCGTCATGCAATAGCGATGGCGGCCCGCAAAGATGACCCTGAAAAAAATCAAGTCGAAAAGTCTAAAGTCAAACATCATTACATTAAGCAATATAATCAACCATCCGTATTTTATTTCTATCATTGTCCGTAGCATTCAATCAAATAAAAATGAATTCAAACTAGAAAATAACTATTTGTTGTTTTCCTCTATTCTTCCTTACCTATTATATTATTCAACGCTCAAAGTTATAGGCCATCCTATATAAATGAATCCTTCCCTCTGAAACCAAGACATAGCTTACTTATCCATCAATACTTGCATAAACCACAGTACTGGTTCTTCTCTTCAAGGCAGCTTGATTAATTATGGCCACTATGATGGTTATGCCGCTTATAATTAATGTATTTCTGATATTTGTAGTACAGTTCTCTTTTCTTCTGTCTCCTGCTGCATCCTTTGATGTTCCCGGCGGTGTAAATTGGTGGTGCGGCAAGACCCCATATCCCGATGCTTGCAAGTCTTTCATCAACCATGATCCTCACACTTATGTTACCAGAACAAAGTCAGAGTTTCGAAAGATGGCGCTGCAGGTTGCCATGGACCGAGCTCTCCGCGCGGAGAGTCACACCAAGTGGCTCGAGCCCAAATGTCGTAACGAGCGAGAGAAAGCTGCATGGGCCGACTGTTTGAAGCTTTACCAGGATACAGTTCTCCAACTCAATCGCACTCTCGACCCCTCCATCAAGTGCACCGATTTTGATGCACAGACATGGCTTAGCACAGCCCTTACCAACCTTCAGACCTGCAGAGCCGGCTTCATTGAGCTTGGGGTCTCGGACTTCATGCTGCCTCTCATGTCGAACAATGTCTCCAAGCTAATCAGCAACACATTGGCAATTAACAAGGCTATATCCCAGAATCAAAATTATACAGACGGCAGGTTCCCAAGTTGGGTGTCACCCGGTGACCGGAAGCTCCTGCAATCGTCATCTCCGGCTTCACGGGCAAACATGGTGGTCGCACAAGATGGGTCAGGAAACTTTCGCACCATTAAAGCTGCTCTCGATGCGGTGTCGAAGCAAAGGAAAGGAAGCGGTAGGTTTATCATTCATGTGAAGGCAGGTGTTTACAGGGAGAATCTTGAGATTGGAAATGGCATGAAGAATATCATGCTTGTAGGCGATGGCATGCGAAGCACGATTATCACTGGTAGTAGGAGCGTGGGAGGAGGTTTCACCACCTTCAACTCTGCAACTGTTGGTAAGAGGGCTTAAATTAATTTATCTATCTAGACCTTTGATTAATTACTTAAATTCTTTCTCTATGACCTGACTTCATGATCGAACATGTCTTTAATTAATTAATTTTACCTACGACTATATATCAGCTGTCACTGGTGAAGGATTCATCGCAATGGGGATCACATTTCGCAACACGGCTGGCCCACAAAACCACCAAGCAGTGGCACTCCGATCAGGCTCTGATCTTTCTGTCTTCTACCGCTGTGGCTTTGAGGGATATCAGGATACCCTATATGTCCACTCTCAACGACAGTTCTACAGAGAATGCTATATCTATGGAACAGTGGACTTCATCTTTGGAAATGCAGCTGTAGTTCTCCAAAACTGCATGATCCTCCCAAGGAGACCCATGGACGGGCAATCGAATGTGGTAACGGCACAAGGCCGGACCGACCCCAACCAGAACACTGGAATCTCAATCCATAATTGTAGAGTCATGGCTTCCTCAGACCTGAAGCCAGTGCAGAGCTCATTCAAGACATTCCTTGGACGACCATGGAAGGAGTATTCTCGAACCGTCTATCTCCAAACTTACCTTGACACGTTGGTGGATCCCGCCGGATGGATGGAATGGAGTGGTAACTTTGCTCTAAATACGTTGTATTATGGAGAGTATAGGAACTTCGGACCAGCTTCATCCACTGCAAGGAGAGTAAAGTGGCGCGGCTATCGTGTCATAACCAATCCATCCGAAGCTTCACGCTTCACAGTAGGCAACTTTATATCCGGCGGTTCCTGGTTGCCGGCAACAGGAGTGCCATTCAACTCCGGCCTCTGATCTTCTTCAATTCTATACATATGTAACAAGCCCACTAATCAATCTTCTATATCCCACTTATTTTTTATTTTTATTTTTGGTGTTCAATTGTAATGTTCTTCTTTAATTTGCTTCCTTTCAGTATTTGTAAGAGGCCAATAAGACGGTGAAACTGTCATGTTAAGGGATATTTCATATTTGATTTGTTCTTAACAAACATTAATAAATTCTTGAAAATCATTTCATTACACTGAATTTCTTGTCAATAATTAATCAAGACCTCCATCTAATTAAGTAGCCGTGATCACTATCTTCACTCTGGAAAAAGAATAATGCATAAATTTGGAGGTCACCTTCTCTGGCTAGGTTGAAAATTAATTTTGATGAAACCATCCAGCCAATGTGGAATTCTAGAATCTATTCAACTTTGGACATTTTTGACTTTTAAGAGCCCAGACTTTGCCAATTGCCATACCCATCATGCCATGTGGCCCAAGATAAAAGATGATGTATGGCTTTCTGGAATTTGGATCATGGATGGGAGGGGTCTATATTTGAATTCCACGCATCCTTCATCTTTTGGAATCCAAGTGAGCATTTAGTATGGTGGTGTTATGTGTCTCTTTGTGATTCTGTTTCAATGATAGTGTCACAATATCTACGTCTTGTTTGGTAGGCTCATAAAATACAAAAATTTTATATTTTTTCTTGTGTGAAACTCATTTTTAGAGGAAACACCAAAATGATGTTTTCATTTGTGTGTTTTGGTTTAGTCTAGTGGTGCCTAATGACACCTAATTATATACTTCGTGCCTGCAACGTTTTTTTCCCGATTTTTAAAGCAAAAACGCAAAAAACGCAAACACATCCATACCAAACACCCACCAAATGACTACCCTACATTGTCATTTTCTGTTCTTCTAAGACGTGTAGAATTTGAGAAGTAAAAAGAGTCCATGTTTTAACGTTTTTCAGGTTAGGTAGGCCTACATCCAAATCAAACTATCAAAGTGTAATGAACTCTTACACTACAATATATGTGCATGGCTATAGCTTAATAAAAGAAAAAAAAAAAAAAAAAAAGATCCTGTGCGTTCAATTTGTGGGGCAAGTTCAAAGTTTTTCTACACTGTCAGTTCAATTGGGTAATTACTTGTATCTCACGCCCTGCGCTTTGATCCAAAAACGAGAGGGAATTTTAGTGACAGAATAAAATAGACAAAATTAAGACAGAAATAGTTATTTGCCGAAGTTTCTTTTAATTTATTCTTCAACAAGAAAATATTAGTTTTACCTTTGAAAATATGTAATTTGAAATTAATATTAAGATTCTCTTTTATTATGATATCTATTTTAATTTTTTAATCCGTTCTAAGTTAGGGTTCGACTATGATGAGGAAAGACATGATACCAYAACAAGTTTACCCAATCAACTGGGGTTATATAAGTGGTAACGAATCTGGTGGATTTTAATCAAAATTCATGGAAGGTTTTGATTGATCAAATCCCTTTCGGCAAGATTTTAAAAATTGAATCAGAAAAAACCGCTTTGACTATTAGTTTCTGGGTCAGTGGTTCAACCATCTAGGTTGAACTATTCAGGTGATTTGATCTATTTGACCTATTAGGGTGAAAAGGATGATCTCTCTCTCTCTCAAAGGAAGAGAGGTAGTTCACCAGTGATGATGATGGTGGCAGTGACATACAGCAGCGATGACTGTAGATTTGATCTCAAATCTCACTAATCTCTTAGTTTCTCTTCAATCTCTCTCACACACACACATATACACATCTCAGTGATCTCAAATCTGAGATCCCATTTCAATCCCTGCCCCATTTCTCGATCTCCTCTCTAATGCTCTCTTAAAAATAAAATAACATTTTATTAAACCGCTACCAGGTCAAGTGGTTTAGTGATTTGACTGTCTGGTTCAGCAGTTTTTTGATTACTTCAACTTTTTTTTTTTTTTTCAAAAGAGCAATCCACTCGAAAATCAGACCCAAAGATATTACTGTTTCTTGGGTCAAACGGTTGAACCGTCCAGATTTAATCCAAATTTCAAACTTTTAGTATCATGTCTTTCTGGCATCATAAATTTGTCTTGAGAAAATTTTCTCGCTTTAAGAAGTATGAGGGTATTTGTGTCCATATAGTACATGAGAAGGTTCACAAGAGTACATGTACTATCAGAAGTTTTGAATGTCATATGAAGATTTTTTATTCTTTGAAACCCAAAACTTGGCTCATTTAATTTAGGGTAAATTATAAAGACCTCATACTTTGGGAGGATCAGCGCAAGATTTTCTTAGCGCAAAAAAAAAAAAAAAGGAAAAGCAGTGATGGTGATGATGACTTGGGTGATGTGGCAATGGATTTTCTCTTCGAGAAAAAAAAAGGAAAAATTCAGGATACGGGTCTGGATAAAAACCTGATAGGCCTCTCTCTCCAAAACTTAACGCCAATTCCGGCATTTGTATAAAGTTTTAGGTCCGGTCAATTTGGAGATTTTGAACCGTAGCAACAGGAATACAGAGGTGGATTTTGAACCGATTGAAGAGGATATGAGCAATGATTCACAGATGCAAGGAGTGCAGTTTGAAGGAACAATGACCAACTTCCAACTCCAACAAATTTCYGAACACTCATCCAGTGCAATCCAGGAGGAGGCATGTTCTATAAATCAGGGTTTTAATTCACGATGTTCAATTCCAACTTGCACTACCCATCATAGACTTAGTTTTTTGTGCAATTTCACAGCTATTAGCTACGGAAAGTTCAAATCTCTTAGTTGGAAAAAACAAAGAAAAAAAAAGGAAAAGCTTTGTATTTGAAACAACGGAAAAGGACTCTATACTGAGGAAAAAACTAAGGAAACTAAAATAAAAAGTTTTTGTTGGTTTTAGTGGTTTTTTAGAACTCACAACATATCACCTACAAGAGTTGAAGATTAAGAAAATTTTGAATAATTTTAAGAAGTTTTCTCTAGTCAAGGTTATTGATCAAAAAAAGAAGAATGGGATTGAGAATAGGAATGAAAGTTTTCTTTTTGTATGAATGTTTCATTGGTTAAACTAAAACAAAAGAAATATTCTAAAAGATTAATTGATTGCGGAGTAGAAGAGTGTCAAGCTAACTTGTTGAAAGAACTCACAAATGCTCTTGTCCCTTATAARTGGGTTAAGAGTCCTGTCCGGCATTAAGCCCCAGGGGTCAAAATGAAAATTTTAAGTTGGAATTTCCAGGGAATTGGATATACCTTGACGATTCAAGCTCTTAAAGAGATCCAAAAAAACACAAATCTAGGTAGCATTTTTCTTATGGAAACTAAGCATTCTTTGCTAGGTTGTAAAAAGGAAAAAAACTTTTCTCAAAAATTGGAATTGTTGGGGCTATGATGCAGAGGATCTTAAGGGTGGTTTAGCTCTTTTCTGGAAAGATGATATAATAAGCAAGATCTTGATTGCTGACCAAAATTTTATCCATGCAAGTTTAAAAGAGGCTGGGGGACAAGTCTGGTGTATTGTTCCTTCATTTATGGAGAACCCAAAAGGCAGCAGAGAAAAGCTTTTGTTCCAAAGTGGAGGGAGTTGGTAGAGTTAGATAAGGGTCTCTGGATGTGCTGCGGAGATCTAAATTTAGTCTTTGATCCTCAAAAAAAAGTAGGGGGAAGGCCTTGTAGTCTAGCTTATGTAAGGGCAAATAAAAATCTGCTAAATGATTGTGGTTTGATGGAGATTCATATCCATGACTGCAATTACACTTGGTCAAATAAAAGGGAAGGTAGTAGAAACATAACAGCAAACTAGTCAGAGCTTTGTGTAATCAACGGTGGAAAGATCTCTTTGTAGAAGCTATAGTTAAGGTTTTGATATCCCTTGGGTCAGATCATTTACCGATTTTGGTCAGTAATGAAAGAATTGGTAAGTGGAGGAGGAGACCATTCAGAATGGAAGTAATGTGGTTGGATCATGAGGATTTTCAAGAGACAATGGAGACGAATTGGTCTAAACCTCAATCAGGACCAATTCAAGATCAATTTTAGAAAAAAATTGTCAATCTTAAGAAAAACTTAAAAGTTTGGAATAAAGAAATCTTTGGAAATGTGAGAAGAAACATTGGTAGGCTCAAGTTGGGAATAAAGATAGAACTAAACAAGAAAGACCTTAAGGACAAGGAAAATCTGAATAGACTTGAGGCAAATCTAGGAGTTTGGTTAAAAAGAGATGAGCAGATGTGGGCCCAAAAATCAATGATAAATTGGCTCCAATGTGGGGATAAAAACACAGTTTTTTTTTTATGCCTAAACAATGATAAGAAGTAGAAACATAATTCTTCAATTGGAAAAGGAACCTAGAATCTAGGTAGATACTGAGGAGCAAACAGAAGAAACTATTTATTAGAATTTTGGAGAAATTTTCAAATCTTCAAACCCCCAAGGAAGTGAAGAAATTCTTAGTAATTTGAAGGAAAAATTTTCAAAGGAAGACAGGAATTGGTTAGAGAGAGACATAGAAGATGAAGAAATCAAAACAACCCTGTTTCAAATGGCTCCTCTAAAAGCTCTTGGTCCTGATGGCTTTCAAAACCTATTTTTTCAAAAATTCTGGAATGTGGTGGACAGAAACCATATCAATGCTATCAAGGATTTCTTCACTGGAAACAGATTTCTAAGTGACTTTAATCAGACCTACATTGCCCTAATTCTAAAAACCAAAAACCCAACCAATGCTAGCCATTTCAGGCCCACCAGTCTTTGCAATACAATTTATAAAATTATAGCAAAAGTCCTGCTTAACAGAGTCAAACATTTGCTCAACAAAATCATAAGTGAAAATCAAACTGCTTTCACTACAGGAAGACTAATCCAAAATAACATTTTAGTGGCTCAAGAAGAAATTGACTTTATGAAAAATCTCAAAGGAAAAAAAAAAAAGCTTGGATGGCTCTGAAATTGGACATAAGCAAGGCTTATGATAGAGTGTAATGGGCTTTTTTGGAAAAAATAATAGGAAAACTAGGTTTTGGAAGCAAATGGATAAAATGGGTTACGGATTGTGTCACTACAGTGTCATATCAAATCCTAATCAATGGAACCCCGGGGAAAAAAATATGGCCAGAACTTTGAAGTTTTATATGCTCACATAAACAATCTTGTTTTGCAGAAAAAATTTTCTAGAATCAAA